TGATTTATAAGTATGTGTAGCTCTTCCTTTGTCCTCAATTTTTGCAGATAGCTCTTTTCTGTCTGTGACTTGTCCCCATTCAAGAAGCATGGCTTTGCGTGCTGGGCTGGAGCCACGTGACCAGCTGAGCTGCTCCTACAACTTACCGTCTCCAAAAGATGGATGTCTCCACCCTTCCCCTGCTCTGGCTTTGTGACAGCGCTCCTTCCCTGAGGCACTCACTGATTGCATGTATAGGTGAACCAATTCAAGCCATCCAGCAGAAGCCTAATCCGTGATGAAACAGTGAAAGCGCGTAGAGGGAAGGCAGGTAGGGAAGGAGGAGGCTGTCCTCTCTGCCCTCAGCTCAGTCTGTTCTGAGGAACCTCTGAAATGTGCTGTGAGAAGGAATTTCTTAACAGGGAGAGAGAAAGAAATTAGAAGATGAGGGTCATGCCCTCTCTCCCTTTTTCTCTTACTAAAACTGAAACCGTAAACTTGCTGGTGCTGTGAGTCCTGGCTGTGTGTATCACTTCTCCCTCCTGAGCCCCCAGAAGAACAGTTCAGTACACTCAGGGGGCAATGCCAGCACAGCATCTCTTGCACTGCACTCACTCTGGCTGCAGATATCTTCTCTTCCTTTACATGCACATTCTTGACATGCTACAATTTGAACTGTCTGCATGAACTGTTAGTGATTTCCCTGCTGGGATAGAATGGAAAACATTCATTCCTTTTCATAGCAGTCAGCACTGGGGATGACCATAATACCAAAGACATAGTTTTAGCATTAAAGGTAGGCAGCAATTATTTGCTTGCTGATGTTGTTTATTGGGATAGCATCTGGTGGTGCTGGGAAAAGTGTCCCCATTGTGCTAGGCATTGGACAAGCAAAGAGTGAGACAGACAGCCTTCTCTTTTTAGAGTGATGGTGGTTTAACCATGACTGATGTGTTTTTTCTCTGAACTATTTTAAAAACATCAGAATCTTTATGTCGTGGTTGTACACATACACACCAAATATTTTAGTCTAACTTCCATTTGGTCTTCATATGCTTTTAAACGTGCCTAAAGCAATTTCTTAGCATAAGGGAAAGGTTTAAATACTGAAATTGTCACAAAACATTATTTTGTGACAATTACATCTTATTGTTGGTGGCCATAAATATGTACTTTAATTTGCTCAACAGGATGAACTATACTATTATTCAGTGGTGTCTGTAAGCCAGACCTTTGAAGGTATTCAGCTTGCTTAAATTCAAGGGATAAAGCATCATCGGCTTTGACTATTCCTTCCTTATGTGTAGTGGTTTAGCCTACCTTTACACAAAAAATTATTTTAGTTACGGAGTTGCTGATGGTTTGACAGTGATGCTGCTGTGTTTACTTAAACAATGAATCTTCAAGTCCTGAATTTGTACTTCATTTTCCACATTTTTGAACAAAAAGCAGCTTTTTTTTCTTATTTATTTTTTTAAAGTCTGCTTTCTTATTTTTTTTGTCATAGGAAGAAGCATCTATGGCGAAAGATTTCCTGATGAGAACTTCAAGCTCAAACACTATGGAATTGGATGGGTTAGCATGGCTAATTCTGGCCCAGACACCAACGGATCCCAATTCTTCATCAGTGTGACAAAGCCTTCCTGGTTAGATGGAAAACATGTAGTATTTGGCAAAGTCCTTGATGGAATGGTAAGTTTAAAGTAGTGGTTGATCTGGACAAATTGTGCCCATTATACCCCTGTTACCCCTGTTCAGAGACAGTTCATTATTCATCTAATATGTACATGGTAGAAAATGATTGTGAGGAGCTCCAGCTGGATAATTTAGAAGTGAAATATCAGAAGTGGAAACCTGTACCATGCTTTTGGCTTTCACAGCCCTTACTTCAGACTGCTAAGCACTGAAATCAACACTTTGCAAATTACACCTTTGCAAATTACAAATGAAGAGAGTTCAGCTCCTCCTTTCAGTAACACTGTTTTCTACAGGCTAAAATCAAATTTTGTAGTGCATGGTAGTTCTGGGTAACACTTTGACTGCTAAGGGTTTTTAGAAACATGTGAATGTAAAGCAGGCAAACACATACTGATGAGAGGCCAAATCAAATTTTCAGCTAAAAAATTATGTTTTCAAGTGATTATATTTTTATTAGTCTGGTTCTCCTTATGGATTATTCCTTTTTAATTTGTGTTTTGAAATTATTGGGGAAAACATGAGCTGCTGGACTTTGAGGAGTTTGGAAACTTCATCAGAATACTTGCCCCTCACTCCCACATTCATACTGAATTCCATTTTCATGATCTACAGTAGTAGCTGTAAATTTTTGAGAAGCTATTTAGACTTAAGTTTCAGTTTAGTCAGCTTAATGGATAAATATAAAAAACAAGCTGTCAATATACCTAAATTAATTTTGTCCTTTAAAAATACTGGTACCACACTAAAAATCTGTATGTGTGTGTTATATGCTAAAGGTAAAAGCAGTAACCAGATTTCTGGAAGTGCAGTTATGCTGTATAATTAGAAAAATAATCATGCTTGCCTTTTGTGATCTCTGGATTCACTTTTTGCTCATAGGCCACAGATATAATCCCGTATGTGCCAGCTTAATCAGCTGAATGTATATTTTTAGTTGCCCCTTCAAAACTTTTTTTTGGCTGAAGGATTTTCTAGGAGGGCAAACAGCTTTCCCTGTGCTTCTGTCAACTGTGTTTGATTTACAGAGTGGCACAACTGCTAATGTGGAAAGAAAAGGATATGGGAAGTTTACAGGGTAAAGGACTTTGTTCACAAACTGGTTAATAAGCAGTGATGTTAGGTGCACTTTTTTGTTTCCGTGGCACCAGACCTCAGCCACTGGAGTTTCTTTGGCTAAATTGAACCTTTCTGTTTGTTCTTTTTTTGTTTGACAGTCTGTGGTGCACTCGATAGAACTCCAGCAGACAGATGAACATGATCGGCCCCTTCAAGACTGTGTGATTGTGAACAGTGGCAAAATAGCTGTAAAGGAACCATTTGTAGTTGAAGTTGGTGACTGGTGAGACCAATAGTCAGAATGAAAAGTACAACTTGTCTTTAATGCTGGTTTTTGACCAATCTCAATGATCCACCAAGTTTTGCTCCTCAAAACAGCTGAAGTTACATTTAGGCAGTACTTGTCATTTGCCAAATACAGAAGGGGTATGACTATTTCTATAACAACTTGTTGGAGCTGCCACTCCTTGAAATTCAAGACATATCCCACCAAATTCTAGATCTTGCAGAAAAAATCTTTAATGAAAAATTATAGAAGTAATTCTATTTTTCCAGGGTTTAAAATATAGTAATTTTGTTCTGTTTGGAAATTTTAGCAATATTTGTTTTTGTCTTTTCAACTGAAAATATTTACTGTAACACTACCAGCATTTCTAAAAACTTAAAAAAAAGGTAAAATATAGAAGTGTTTTGAATAAATAAACTTTGCTTTCAGATAAATACTTGAGAGCATTTTTTACTCCACCCCCCCCCCCCCCCCCCCAAAGTCTTTTTTCTCACCTCAACTGATTCCACATAATATGCAGGGGGTATTGCTTTTCAGGAGATAAGGTTGTAAGGTTAGAGCAGAGATGGTAAATTTTCCTAATCTAAACATGTCAGTCCCTTCTGTCTTTCAGAAAACCGCAGTACTGAGATACCATTCTGTGATCAAGAACAAGCAGCTTTTCTGTCTTATTATTAAATTAGGTAGTCTGTTAGAAACTGATTAAAACAGAAGAATTCTTATTTTGGTGAATTTTGTAACACTTAATTAATGTTACTTATATTAAAGCTCAAACACTTTTTCTTTACGTTTTGCTGTAAGTTTGAGAACTTTAGGTTCATTTTTTTTGTGATGCTTCATAAATAACTCTTAAGCTGACAACTGGTAGCTTTCAGAGGAGGTCAGTGAAGGGTAACACTTAAGAGACACCTATGTTAAGTTCAGGGCAGATACGTGGATTTTTTTTGTTTTGAGTTGACTGTTTTAGGACTCAAGGTGGAAGAGGCAGTGCCAAGATCTGATTAAGGGCTCATCCACCTGTTACACAGGCAGGCAGTACACTACTCCTCTTTGTAATGACTCATTTCCTGAAGGGTGTCCTGAAGGAGCTTTGAGGTGTATCCAGAGCCAAAGTGATTCAGGGCAGAAGAGGCTGCTACAGCACAGAGCTTGTAGGTACCTATTGGCATTCCACTCACAAGGAAACAGGAAAAAACTGTGGGCAGGGATTTACCCTAGGTTCTTCATATCATTTGCTGTTAGAGGATGCTCCTTCTGGTTCCTCATCCACAGCCCTGGGCCTCTCCTGAAGGTAAATGCTGACACTCCTTTTCAGAGACCTGCGAAAGGACTACTGTCCTCTGCAAACAGAACTGGAGGAGAACTTGGCAAGGGCCTCTAAATTTTCCTAGGGCTAGGCAATCAGATTTCCATTTTGCCTCTGATCACTTTTCTTTCTAATAGCTGTTTAAAGTAAAATTCTCTGAAAAGCAGCTCTGGGAGCAGGGTTAGCAAGCAGGAGTGAGAATGCCTCAGTCTGCCAGTAGCTGAAAGCTCTCCTGGAGGCTGAGCTTACAGACCTCATAAAGTTACGGTACCTGAACAAGTGCTGCAGTCACAGGCCTACCTTTTTTTGAAGTCCCAGCTTTCCACTTTCTCCAGATGGCTTCCAAACACATTTACCAGTTAGAGCAACCTGTGTGTCTCCAGGATCTGATTTATGTTTGTGCCCAGCTTTGTCATTGCTGGTTTTGTGTAGCATTCCCTTCTGCTGATGAGCCCAGTGACTTCCTCTGTGTTCCATTAACCTTAATTTTTTTCACCGAGACATACAGTTCTGTAAGGCTACCATGTTCAGCTAAGAGCTTTAAATCAGCAGACACACAGGTATTTTCTCACACTTCTTGGGAAGACAGACATCTGTGAGACCCATCTCAGAGAACAGAATCTCAGAAAAATTTCAATAGAAAAATTTCACAAAAAAAAACACTGAAATGGTACATTCATGTCCTAGTAATTTATTTTATAATGTCCAGCAGCACACATACAAGTTTCCAGTTAAATCTGAACATACATATATATGTATCAGTTTTAGTTTGATCATAATCTTAATAATATTCTTGCTTTAGTTTACCACAGATTTGTATGTTCTGTGACTTATAAAATGTTAATATATGGAATACAGTCAGCAAGTTGGTGTGGAAAGTAAACAAACACACAAGTTAGATGTCATAACTGAATGGAGATGTGCAAAAGCCATAGAGAAACTCCTGGTAGGTAAAATAATTTAAACTGAAACCTAGAAAATTTCCTCAGAGAGTGCTGTGTGTTTCAGAATGTGAAAGCATGTTTCCAATTCTGCACACACTCTCTTCAGCACTTCTAATCCATCCAGTGCCAGCAATGGGTAATGTGCTGGGAAAAATCCTGGTGCAAAATGGTTAGTGTTTGCTTTAAGAGAAATTATAGAAATAATTAGTAAAACTTTTCTCTTCAAAGGTTAGCATAGTTCAGTGTATGACTTAGAACATTTAGTGTTAAACAGAGCATATCAATATATAGAAAGTATAAATAACTTCAATACTGTTGTTTCCATATCTTTTTTAAAAGCAGCAACTGTAATGACAGTGATTTTATTTAAAAAGTCGTAATGCTTGAACTTAATCTGAGGTTGTGCCTCTTGCTTCTGAGCATAATTTTCACATCACAGAATTTTATTCCTGTTAATTCTATTAACCATGACTTCAGCTTCTTCTTGCCTCGTATTACCTTCTACCTGGGCAGTAAGTGAGGATAAAATATTCCATGTAGAATGCCGTCTATAACTACATTTGGAAAGTCATCTGAAAAAAAAGGGAAAAAAAAAAGAAAGAAACTTACTTTCTTATCCATGTAAGTACAATATAAATGTTTTTGTGAAACTTAACTAGGTAAGGCCTCATTTACTTTGGGTTACTGCATCACTCAACTGTTTATCCACGTTGGGGATGTGCTATTAGTAATGCTGTTTCAGCACTAAAGCCACTTTAGGGTAGCAGTGGGCATTGCATGAATGCGCTGCCAGATTTGTAGCTTATTGATTTAAAGGGATGTTCTAATACTTAAGGCTGCTAGGCTCCAGCTCTTTATCTGAATCTTTTCTCACAAGGAAGATGGATTACACTGGCAATTCAGTTTCTAACAAAATCTCAATATACTTGAAGAAATTTCTAGATTACTACTGGGAATACTTCAAAGCTGTTTTTTGTATTGTGGTTTACAGCGATGTTTAGACGGAGAAGACCTGAGGATGCCTGTACAAAAATGATTATTTGAGGAAAGAAATTTTCAGGTTGTCCAATCAACATAAAATGTTACATTACAAAATGTCATCCTACAGTACTTGATGGAAAAAATTCCCACTACTTTGTTGTCATCGATGCAGAGGAAACTGCCAGTTAATTTTCATGTTCCATTTGGCATGAAAGAATTGCCAGATAGAACACAATAATAGATCCATGTACATGGATATACACTGTTGAATTAAAAAGATTTTTGAAATGCACCAACATCTGAGGTTTTAATGAAGGGTCTATTTAAATCACCAGACATTAAAACTAAGAATTTCTGATCACATCTTACAACCTTAAAATTGTTAGTATACTAGAAATGGATTTCCTGCTAAGAGTAGACGGTTCCTGATGTGGAACTCTCCACATGAAACAAAGCTTCAACTATCAGCCTACAGGTATTCACAAAGGAAAAATGCAACTTTTATAAAAATCATTAGTATGTGATAAATTAGATCACCTAATGTGGGTGGGAATTAGGGTTTGCCCCTAACTCTTTCACATAAATAATTTTGGAATTAAAAATACAGAACAAAGGTAGATTTGGACCCTATCAATGCAATCCTTATTGTCTTAAATGTGTTATTTCTTCGTTGTTAATAAAGTGATTTCAGAATATTACAGATTTTATGAACATAGATACTTTAGGATGTTTTTAACCTCCCCTGTAAACAAGTTATGCATAATTCTACCCAGCTTCTCATAGTAAGACATAATTAGAAATGACTTGCTGATATTTTGAATCCATTAGTGTTTCCTCAAATCCTGTAAGATCATCTGTCCCAAATTACCCTGGCAGAATAACCCTATGCAGCTGTCATTAACGTTACCAAAATACACTTGTAAAGGTGATCAGATGCTTTCCTTGTAGATTAAATGATATCAGTTTTTATTGGTTCTTCTATAACATACAGTATATATAGGAAAATAAGGATTAATTTTCAAAATGATGCATCCGCACAACATTAGATTTAATGTGAGCCTTTTCTACTTAAAAAATCAAGCATATCAATTTAAATTAAATGCAACTAAAATATACATATATATATATATATAAAACTTAAGTATAAACACAACAAAGCACAGTCTTGCAGATCCGTGACTCCTGCATGGCTTAAAGAACCATCAGAACAATTTTCAAACAACTGACAGTAAATGTAAGATCCCACTTTTTTAGCTTCCAAAGTATCATCTTCAGTTTGAAGCACATTAGGTTTTTCCTTTTTTTTTTTTTGAGAACATTAATTTTTTCTTTCTCCCTGTACCCTTACACAAAAAGTAATGTACACTTGGGCCCTCAGATTGTTAAATACATCTTGAAAAAGGGAATCTGAAAATCAATGAGGTTCGTAACTGTGCATCTTATTTCTGGAAAAACTGTCTTGCAATTCAACAGTGCTTAAAGCCCAGTCACTAGAGTAATGGCAAGATTGTATTTTATAATGACAAGTCACAGTGCAATGACAGGGTAAAAATTTTCTTTGAGTATTATATTCCAGAAATAGTTTTTTATTTTGTTTAAAACTCACCCTGTTTCCTACTTATTGAAATATGTTAACACAGGCATCCCTGTATCCAGGAAAGACTTCTGATTGAAATTCACCTTCTTCAAAGACAGCATATAATAAATAGTTATTTGTTAACAGACACTTACTTTTGGTCATAGGTTGAACAACCTTGGCTGTTTTTACAGAGAAAGAAATCAGAGTCTATCAAAGTAAGAACTAATCTGAGAGGGAAAATTTTAGAAAGCTCATCTATATTTTCTCTGTGCTGCAAACTAAAAAAAAAGAAGAATTAAAGGCAATGCTAGTTTTGTAAAAACTTTGTTCCTTTCTAACTAGACTTGAGTCAACTAGTAGAGGCTCTAGACTCAGGACTTGGTTTTCTTCTTCCTTTTTTAAACCACAACTCACGTTCTAATTTGTGTTTTAATTCATTTAGTTAAAGAATGACTTGCAGCGAATTTGATGTTTTAGGGCTTTCAAATACAAAGAATATTCACCTGCCATATAAAATTCTAAATACTGTGGATCAAGGTCAGAAAATGCCTTGGCAAGAATCTGAAATGTCCTTTATATCATGTCATTAATGAGGCCTACTCAATATATAAACATGTTACTCATTAGAAGAGGGCTTTATCTTAATGCTTTTTTGCATTACTTCAAAGAACAGTTACAAAATTCATTGGAAAGTTCCTAATGATTTCACAAAAAGGAGCCTTACTCAGAGTACATATTATGGAAGGGAGATAAATACCATCACAGAACTGCAGAATCTTGAAGTCTTGGAGCCAAATGTTACATGTGGGCTGGAAATACTAAGATCTGTCTCAGTTTTTTGGGATAACAGTATATGAAATCCATTTTCTCTCTTCAGAATGGTATGGAGTTACATGATGTTCATAATTTATACCAGGCTCTTGAGGAATCAAGTATATAATTAGGAGGAGCATTAAACACTAAGATTAAGACATGCAATGTGGCTCACTCGAAGAATTAGTATAGGCAGCATCTGGACCAAATTTTAAACAGAGGTTTCTCTGTGGGTGATTCTTCATTACTGTTGTCACTTGGGTCAGATGTGACCCTGTGCAGTGACCCCCTTCCCTTACTGTGCTTTGGCTCATCGATTTTGTGATCTGCACTTCAGCCTCAAATGAACATTCAGTCTGTGAAATCAGACTAGTGCTAAGTCAAAGTAAAAGCTAAACAACCTTGTAATGTGTCTTCTGATGTGGACCTGAATCACACTGGACCTCTGTTGTCTGAGTTTCACTCTAGTTACATATTGGAGTTCAGTAAGTCTTCATAGGATCAATAGTGTTTGGCCCCACTACTAGCTAGCATGGTCACTGCCTGCAAGAGAGACTGCTTAACCCTCTCAAAATATATGAGGTCATCCCTATGGTTGTGGCAAACAGCTTGAAAAAACAGCAGAACCACAGAACAGCTGCAGCTGGGAGATGACTGGAGGTGATCTGGTCCAAACCGCTGTTCAAGAAGGAGCACCTCCAGACAGTCGCCCAGGACCATGGCCACACAGCTTCTGAGTGTCTCCAAGAATGGAGACCCAACACCTCTCTGGACAGCCCGTGTCTGGGCTTGGGAAAATATTCCTTATGTTCTAGTCCTGTCACTGGGCAGCACAGAAAAGAGATTGGCTTTGTCTTCCTTATGCCCTCCCTTCAAGGATTTAGAAGCATCTTGAGAAAATATCAAGGAAGTACACTCCATTGTCTAGGGAAAGCAAAAAAGTGTTCTTTCCTAAATTTATTCTTAAAAATTTAATTTTAAGGCAGTGTGAGATTTCCACACAGTATTTAGTGAAATGAAACAAAATGCCATATTAAAAAAAACTATGTGCAGCTCAGGGAGAAAATTCTCTTTTGAAAGCATATTACATTTTAAAAATAAAATATTTATTAGAAATAACACGTTCAAACAAGTAAAATGACAAAGCTAAGAGGAACCCACCCTGAAAATGGTACTTTTTTTTCCCTACACACATTGAATTTGAGACAGGGTAAATTCTCTGAATTATTAATTCAAAGAACTTTTTATATTAAAAAAGAGTTTATAACAATTTCCAATGCTCTTTTGAATCACGTAAGTCTAATGTAAATGTCTTGTGAAATATATCACTTTAAGTACACTTTTTTCCCCATAAAGAGCTTCAGAGATTGTAAATGATAAGAAATAATAATAATAATCCAAATGGAAATACAAACATGCTTGCAGTAGACCAGCTGTTGTTTAGGGAAAAAACACTTACAAAGGACTGGGCCTCCAAGTTCAAGACCTTCAGACAAAACAGCCAAAGGGTCAACAACAAGAAAAGAAAAGCAGTGTTCTTCTTTTGATTTGAATTCTCAGTAGGTTTGCCTGAGAGAACAACTGGGGGGAAAATTCCACCCTTTTACAAATCGCCCACCCCACTTAGTGTTTTAATGGTTTCTTACACAAGAACTATCGTTTTATTGGCAGGTTATTAGATTTTGGACCAGTGTCATTTGACTAGGCCAGTATTAATAATAATAATGTGGTTTATGCAGTGCAGGGTCAGATCAGTAAAGTGCTGTTAACAGATGACAGGTTTGATTACCGTTGGCCTTAGGCAAGACATATGGATCCCTTAGGAACAGCAGCACAGGCTGGTGGGACAGTTTGCTGGAAAGGTCAAGAACAGGGATGTCAGTATCAAGGGACAGCAAACAGACTGTTCTACAAACTAGCTTTGATAAAGTGAGGTGGTGGAGCTGCTGGGAGCCATGCAGTGTGGTTCCACACACCCGTGCTGCCCAGAAGGGCAGGCTCCATCTCCGGGAAGCAAAGCTCGCTGCTCCTCAGCCATACACTGAAACCCTCAATGTCAAGCTGGAGTAAAGGGGCTGCATCCAGGAGGACTGGCTTGCAGCTCTGAGACTTCCTGATGCTGCTCTGTTCCCTGGCACGTGGTGTCATGCAGGCTACAAGACCACCTACAGCCCGGCTCCATAGGCTCTCCAGGCCACCAAGCTGACTCAAAATGCCACCGTGTTCTTACAGCCCCCAAAGCAGTTGCTGTATCCATCACTTGTCGAGAGAAGCCCTTGAAAGCCCCCCATGCCTGACTCTCACCCTTAGCCATAGCACAGACAGCCTCCCCCAGCCCTCTCCACTCTGCTTTGTGCATATACATTCCAAGTAGTGCCACCAGATGCAGATGAAGCTCTATCAAATGCATGGGGAAGAACCCAGATCTCTAATTCCTTCTGCTAAATCTTGCTACAAAAAATACATTCCCAGATATATTTCAGAGCTGGCACCGTTCTGTCAGTTTTGTAAAGAATTTCTCAACACTAGCATAAGGATGTTCAAGCCACACTAAAAATGGATAGATATAGCACAGCTGATGGTAATATTTAACAAATACAATTTTAATGCTAAACTACTTCTAATTTGTTAACTGCAAGGAACAAATAAAGTAAATGGCAATAATTAAAGTAGTTTTTTAATGAGGTGCCCTATAAAGAGTAGAAATCAAGCTCACCTAGATTCTTCAGATTCTGTTTCATCAAAAGAGCTGCAAGTAAAGTGACAGGAAGCTTTGGTTACAACAAAATTAATTTTACAATTAAAACCCCCAAATACTTTAAGAATCACCAAAGGGAGCAATTTGCTGGTCAGTGGCCACATAATGCCACATAAGGAAATGTACATGGGGGATTGTATCATTTTATAACCACCACTATTTGAAAATGACAGCATCCATTTTACTGTAACAGATTAATTTCCATCAATCTATCTGTGAAGTGCTGAGGTGTAGTTCCACTGAGGATATTGGCTGATGTCATTAACTGCAAGTGAAAACTACAAGCCTGATAGCTTCTGAGTCACTCTGGACACTGCCCTGTGCCATAGAGACCTCCAAGGATAAAAGGGCCTCAAAATTATCTTCAGGTAAATTTGCCTTTTCACTACTATGGATCCAAACAGCCTGCCCCAAAGTGGAAAAGGGCCACATGGCTTTCTGGGGAGCAGAATGGTAATGCTTCTGAACTATCAACCACATCATCTTACCTAGCAAAATAAATTCTGCCTACCAAGCTCACAGCTGCAGATGGTAACAGAGCTTCCAGTTACACTGGTTTGGGTATTTCTGTAGCCCTTAAACTCATCGTCCCAAGATTCCCTTCTGCCACTGGCTAGGAGCCCCTCCCAGAGATGGGCAATCGGGTCACTGGGGTAATGTCATCAGAAAGGAAAAAGAACCTCATTTTTGAACACATAGAGTGAGATCATAAAATTATCATGGAATGATGCACTATTTTGTGCAGATACTATGATCATAAAACATATGCAAAGGCTTTCTATGCAATTTTACTAAGTGCTTATGAATATCTTACATTTCAGTAGATACTTCATGATCTACAAGAAAGTCATATTTTTCTCATCTAAGCTCTCCTTTGCTTTCCAAGAATATTACATAAACTTCCCTTCTGTTGTGAACATGCTGGATTTATTTTACGACCTTTTGGGGATACATAAACATACTTAACATTAGCCTAATGCCCATTTATTTTACAGTGTTAGAGTTGGCAGCAAGACCATTTTAAGTCAATGGAATTGCATCAGCACTGAGTGGATATGGGCCTTTTGGCCTCCATATATTTTTCAGTAAAGGAGAGCTTACCCACAGCTTTCTGCTTTTGGCAAGGTAGGTACATGACGAACGTTCAAAAAATCGAGAAATATCTTAGGGAGCTCTTCATTTTCTAAAATGACTGTCTGTAAAAAAAAAGGCACAATAGAAACCCAAGTTTAAAAAATATTTTAGATATTGCACAGTTCCATTCAAGCTACTAAAACAACATTTCTCTCTTGCAATATGTTTCGGTTCTCCATTTTTACACCTATTTTGGAATGCCTCATTTTGATAGGAAAACCACAGTTTTCTCGATGAATCACTTAGAAATACATTCAGCTTATGCTACTACATTCTTTTTCACCTGCCATCACTGGTGCCAACCTATATTCCTCTCAAGCACAGATGTCTGACTCTGGAACTAAGTTACTGGCATGCTCATTTGTGAATAAAGTTCTGTTTATTTAAAGTATAAAATAAAACAGCCTCAGCTTAGTGCTTTCATGTTCACCTCACAGAAGACTACCATCTGTCTTGTGAGCAGAAGAAGTCTTCACTTTGTGCAGTTTTATTAATGCACGTCTTGGTAAATGACAACAAGGGAAACTCCCTGCTTGGCTTGACAGGTCAGCTTACAATACACTCCATTTATCTGCCCTATGGCTCTGAATGACAAAGCTCTGACCACGCAGCTGCTGGCCAGACTTGCCACATTCTTCCACAACCGTGATACAAGGGCCACATAATGCCCAGACTACATCCTCTGTTTTTTCCCTTGATGAGATGATCTATGGTTTTCACAAGGCAAAGAAAAACAGTTCATAAATTCAACCGTCTCATCTGAAAGATAAAGCCCCTATTTCTTTATTGTTCATACTGACATGCATTCTGAAAACGTGTACTTCACAAGAAAAATTAAGCCATAAGCTTTCTTAAAGAGATTTTCTTCATAAAGGCCTGATCTGAAGTGAATGTATGTATGGAAGAAACTTCACTGGATTTAAAATTAAATTGACTCTAGAAGCAAAGATTTCCATGTTCATCCTGCTCACTTTCCCACCCCATGATAGAAGAAATAAATATAGAGAAGAAACAAGTCTGGAAAGACACATTACTCTTACATTCAGAAGGTAACTTACTCCCACATGTGTATTCTTTTACATTACAATATCACAAGGGAGGCAGTGGTATATAGAGGATAGCAGGATCACAAAAAAGAAAGGTTGGAAGAGACATCTAGAAGTCATCTAGATTTTATAGCAGGTTTTATAGCAAATGGTTTGGTTATTTGTGTAAGGAAAACCTGCTCAATATTAAAATTACATAAGATGTAATGGACTTAAAAGCATTTAAAACCAGAAGTATTTGAGAACTGGATATTTTTTTATTTTACATTTGCAAGTCTGAATTCAGAGGCTATACTTTCTTAACAGCTGAGGCCATCACTAAAATGTTTGAATAAAAGTTCAGCAAAAAATGCAGCTTTTGAACTTTTCTGTTCTAGATTTTAAGGGATATAACAAACAAGGAGGTCTAAGATGTTGGTAAGTGTAAGCCTTTCAGTTCACCTTTATATGAAGATGCTGCATTAAAAATGCCACTCTGTTTGCATTCTGCAAAATCAGCACTCTGCTCCTGAAAAATTTATCCCGTTCTGCATTCACGTTATGCACAAAAGAAGGTGTGGAGGTAGATGCATATTCAGAGAGTGTGTGAATTGCATAGAAATGTGTATGGCTGGCTCAAATAAAACCATCTTGCTAATTATATGCAATGAGGAGCTGCAAAAAGTTGTAGACAGATGTTTAAGGGCATCCAGTGCTTATGTGCGACTTCATACATAAACTCTTGACAGCTTTTTCTAAAAGCTGAGCTGCCTGCTGAGGCTGCTGAATGGAGCAGGGAAGAACAGAAGGATACACCATTTTATAAAAGGAAAACTATTGACAGGTCTTACAAGCTTATTTGCTTCTACTTCCACTCACTTGAGATTAATATCTTATTCTATTTTGGTTTGGGTTTTTTTTTCTTCCCCCACAACATGTATCAAGTCAACCCAAGCTCTGCTAATCCTGGCCTGACCACATAGCTTTCACAAAAAATGTAAGCAAATAGTATCCATTTTAGTCTGTTAAGCCATACAGTTTGTTAGTGGTCAATAATTCTGCTTTAGTGATCACTAAACTTGAAAATGTAGAATTTGAAGAGAAGCAAAGGCAATTTTGCACTGCACTGTATTTGTACACCACCTCTGCTGATTGGGAATATTGTCATTTCCAGAATTTTATGAAGGAAGGAATGACTGCATTGACCAAAGGAGGATTTTGCAAGTGATGTAATATAATGTGACATGGATTTTTAAGCATTAAAAATAAAAATATGAAGTTTACAAGTTAATTATACTAATAGGTGGCAAATTATCTTCTGGCTTGCCTTTATTGGCTTTGATTCAACAAGGGGCAAGGACATAATCTTGCCATTTAAAATACACAGTGGAAACCAAAGGAGAGGAGAAAAAAAAGCCCCTGATAACAACAACAACAACAACAACTAAACTAAACTAAACTAAACCAAAGAAAAGCCAACAAAAAACCACACAAGCCCCAAATCAAACAAACCAACCAATACCAAAATAAAACCTCTAGAAGCACCAACCAGCCACAATGGATTAGGCGTGTGCATATAGAAAAAAAAATTGAAGCACTCTCAGCTTCCTATTTAAGTTAAGAAAAATTGTTCTTAAATCAGAAATGTTATTATAAATTATAATAATAGGCTTAAGTTACCTGGAACAACCCATAACACAAGAGAGTTTTTACTTCTGTCAGAAAACCTGTAAGAAATCCATATTTTGCAAACCTGACCATCTTTACATAATAAGTGTGCAGAAAAGGAACCAGCAGGTAGTTTCTCTACCATTACCTATAATTTGTGATTTAATATGCTCAACTGCAGCATTTGTTCAAGTGAATATATGATATTGGCTTGTAGGCATGACTAGCTATCTTGTTTGCTCTGCCGTCAGAAACTGAAAGATAAATATTTTCAAAGAAATAAAAACTCACACTTAGTTCTTTGTAATGCGAATTTTTGTTGCATCCAAATTCTATCAAGATCATAGCAATGAATTTCAAATATGGGCCCCAGAGTGCTAAGGAAGCTAATTTAAGAAAAAATCCCCAGGATGTGTATTTCCTTGTAAATGAAATAAAACTCCCTCTTCCCCCAAAACTAAACCTAATACAACCTCTAGCAAGTGATTTGGGAAGTGACTCCAGAAATACATTTTTCAACTCATTGATTTCAGCTGAACTAAAAGTGCCATATTTTCTTAGAAAATTGTAAAGGGTATTTATCTCTTACTGTCACACTTTAATGAACTACTCTGTGCTTCAGGAGAAAAACCCACAACACAACACAACACAAGGGAAAGTCTGATGTTTACATCAGTAGAAATGTCTTTTTCATTGGAAGGGTGCAATTATTATTATGTAAGACAAATCATAAAATCCCCGATTTTTCTACCTTATCAGTTTCATAAAATCATGTTCCCTAAGGATGTCATTGATTAGTTGCACATGTTCTTTCAGTGACATCTGAAATACTTAATTGTCGGTTATCTTTTCTCCTTCAGTAAGTAAAATATAGTCACAAAATTGCAAAGGGACTTGTTCTGCCTTAACCTTAGCTAGATGCCATCATGCAGTGGAAAACAGTGCTAAAATATCACAGGATAATGCTCTCCAACAAGGGAGACATATAAACAGCATAATGATTTCCCATGAGTTTCCTTTTTAGAAAATTGTCACTAAAGCCAGGGTAAATGGTGACATATCTTCACAGAGGACACTGTGAAATCGAACACTGGCATTCTAGTTAGGCCCAAACCTACTCATCAGCCAATTATAACAGTAACTGAACATCTCTCTGAAAACCTGAACAAGACCACTTTGCTAACCTTCAGAGATCATGCCACAGATATGCATCATTCTCTATTATTATTATTATTATTATTATTATTATTATTATTATTATTATTGCTGGTTTTAATAAAGAAATATTTAAAAATCAATTTCTTACAGTCATCTATCACACTTTCTTGAGGTTGCTGGAAGAACTGCGGGAAAGGGAGAAAAGAGAGTGGGAGCTGAGTTACAGGGTTTTTACAGACTTTTCTATTCAGTCGGGTTTAGTTTGAAAGGCTGTACTGTTAGGGTGAAAAAGTTCACGACAGTTTTTCCTCTCTTCACAGGGAAAGATGCTTCACAATACCTAATTCAGTGGTGCAGCTAAAATGGGGGAAAAGAAAATCAATACATTCCAGCTACAGTAAGTAGGCTGGAGTGTCAGTCTCCACTGGGACCAAAATCCACATCTTTTAGAACATTTTAGAGTCTATATTCTTCTATTAACCTGCTTTTCCTGAACTGCTTTACACAGTCCCATGAAATGATAAAAAGGTTATCAAAAGAACACATTAGCTAAAAACCAAGTAGACAAAGGAACCAGACTTGAATGATTAAGCTTTTCTTTTTTAAAGTAATAGCAGATACAATCATGTTTTATAATATCCATTGTGAAGAACTATGAAGAAACTTACTCCCTTGTTCAGTGAGGCTTGTTAGAGGTTATTAACTGGGATTAATTCTAAAAAGAATTTCCACTTTTCATTACTACCACAAGTATTTACATATGTAAGAATAGAATAAGGTTATCAAACGTGCTTAAAAACCTGTATAAAGTTTCAAGAAACATGCAAATACATGTACAACAACACAGAAGTGATGCTCCATATTAAGCACCAGCTAATTAACACTCCCACACTGTGTATCAAAGGGAAGTCAACAGTAAGAGTGACATCCATGCAGTGGAGCTTGAAAGGGAAAAAATACTGACTATAGGGATTATAAGACAAAATACATCCAATGAAGATCCAGAAGTTCCAACTGAACTATCTGAAAGATAATGTAAAGTCACAAGAGTTTAAAAAAAAGAAGGACAGAGGGGAATTGCACCTCTGAACCTCAAGACTGGAGGATACTTCCTGTGAGCTTGAAACTCCCCTCGTATCTCATGAGTGACAAATCCATCTATCATAGTCATCTCAAGCTATGCAAAGGACAAATTAGATGGAAGGGAAGCC